TAGGGACGATCAATAATTTCTCAAGTTCCATTAGATATAACAGAATCCATTTCACTCCGTACTGCTTCTTTCCATAAGTCAGCATCAGGAGAGAAATATGCCTCTTCAATGGTCGTTGGTGTGTCATCCACAAGGCACACAATATAGTCATCACCAAAAGACTTTGTAGTCCTCTATCTCTTACTTTTTCTTGTGACTATAGTGTCATCCCCCCTAAGGATTTTGCATATAGGGTTCCTCAGTTTGTTATATCGGAGTAAAATTTTCTTGCTCATAGAGAATTATAAATTCATGACTAGTCGTGCTAGGTGTATTTTTCATGAGAAACTCATTCTCAAAAAATATAGCGTCTCTAAATTTCATGATTGTATCAACAGCCATCTCAGGAATACTAGAGTTTATGATTAAAAATCTATAACCCACGCTGTGAATAGCATAACCAAGAAAGACACAATCAATAGTCTTTGGTCCAAGATTTCGTTTTTTGTTTATTGGCATATTCACCTTTGCCAAACAACCCCAAGTTCACATGTAAGAGAGATTTAATCTCTTCTTCTCCCATTCCTCGAATGGAGTAATTTCTTTGTTCTTTGTGGATACTCTATTCAGGACATGACATGACTGTGAATATAGCCTCACCCCACCATTACTTAGATAGTCCCGCAGTTTCTAACATGGTATTTACCAAATCAGTTAGAGTGTGGTTCTTTCTCTCGCAATCCTATTGGACTATGGTGAGTATGGTGGCGTCCTCTCATGAATAATTACATGCACCGCGTAAAACTCAGAAAATTCATTTAACAAAATATTCTCCCCCGCAATCGGACCGCAAGCGCTTGATTTTCTTCTCAAGTTGATTTTCTACCTTAGCTTTATAGACTTTAAAATAATGCAACGCTTCATCTTTAGTTTTTAATAAATATACGTAGAAAAATCTAGTACAATCATCTATAAATGTCATGAAGTATCGTCTACCGCCTTTAGTCAATTCACCATTCATTTCGCATAAATCAGAATGAACGAGTTCTAATGGTGCCAAGTTCCTTGCCTCAGCAGCCTTGTGAGGCTTAGCGGTTGCTTCGATTGCACACACACCTACACTTAGAATCTTTGATTAAGTTATATTTTGGGATTAAATTCAGATTTGCAAGCCCCATGAGACAGCCAAAATTAATATGACAAAGTCGTGAATGCCAAATATTCGACTCATTCGAAATATTAACATTGTTCACCACTTTATTACACACATCATCAAGCAAAGATAAGCGGAATAAGCCTCCGTAATCATAACCTTTTCCAACAAATGTTTCATGTCTCGACACAACACCATATTTATTGGACTCAAGCATAATTTTAAAGCCATCGCGACACATCTGAGAAGAGCTAACAAGATTCTTCTTGATGGAGGGGACATGCTACATGTTTTTTAATAGCACCGTCTTTCCCGAAGTAAACTTCAGAACGACCGTACCAGCACCAAGAACCCGCGTATGTGAACCGTTTCCCATCAGCAAGGTTCTAGTCCCGCCGACCTGATAGGAAGTAAACAAAGAAACATCAGCACACATGTGAATATTAGCACCGCTGTCCATCTATCACTTAGGTGAAAGACAAACTGAGAGAATAAAATGTAAAGAATTACCATACCCAGATGTTTCTCCTCCAGTCTCGCTAATTACCACGTTTCCTGATTTCTTTTCTTGCTTATATTTACGGTCTGGGCACGCACGTGCCCAATTCTCATCACTCCCGCAAACAAAGCAACCTCCACATTTTTTGTTATTTTTCTTTTGAACTATTCAGTTTGCTTAGGCTTTATATCGTTGTTCTCTTGCATGTTCTTCTTTTTATTATGAGATGTAAATGAGTTTTTCTTCTGCACCATATTGGCAGCGGAAGACTCAACTCCTTTTCCACGGTTGTCTTTTGCTCTCATCCTCTCCTCAACATCAAGAGATCTAATAAGCTCAGCCACGCTAAACTCTTGTCTCTTGTGTTTTAGAGAAGTAGCAAAATTCCTTCAAGAAGGTGGTAACTTAACGATTATACCGCCGGACACAAACTTATCGGGCAACAAACATGAGAAGTGTTCTAGTTCCTTTGCTAGCGCCTGTATCTCATGAGCCTGTTCGACCATAGAACGGTTTTCAACCATTTTGTAGTCATACAACTGCTCCATAAGGTACAACTCACTGCCAGCATCAGAAACTCCAAACTTTGTATAAGAGCATCCCATAACTCTTTACCTGATGTGCAAGATATGTAGTTTTTCTCATACTTAGGATGAAGTGTACTAATCACGACGCCTCGAAACATATTATCGGCAGCCAAGAACTTTTTCTCCTCCTCAGGAGTAAACTGTTTAGGCTTCCCCTATGTGGCGTGATAGCAGTTCATCACAGTCAACCACAATACCATCTTGGTACGCCATATCATGAAATTCTTGCCATCAAAATCATTTGGCTTCAAAGCAGCAGCAAAACCATTGACAAAAAATTGCCTAAGATTAGGTTTTTGGATTGTTAGAAATTTAGGCATTTTCATTATCAGTTTAATCCAGAAAAATAACATCAGCAGGTTCGTGATGGCATATATGTGCATGTGTATATTTTTAACGAACGCTACAGCATGCATAGATGATATACAGATAAATACAGTAAAATCGCATATTACAATAATCAGAAAGATTAGATTGTACCCAGCGGAGGGTCCTATGCCGAGGACATCGGAGACTCCATTCGCACTAGTCGACATAGTGTGTTGCTCGAAGTCGCGGACCATAGTCGGTGCAGAACGATGTTCGCAGTGCAATCCCACGAACGGATCACCAGGAAGAAGACGCCTTGATGTTCCGCAGGTAATCACCAAAAGAGGACGGGATCACCACCAGGAAGAAGACGTACATGGACGAGCAGTCGCGGATCGCTCCCCAAAAACCTAATCGCCGCACGCCCCGTGCAAGGTTCTCAAGCGGGCGAGGGTTCCGGAGGCACTGCTCTCTCGGTGCTCCGTGCGCGCAGAGGTACGGGACGGGAAAGCTAGAAGGCTGCTGAGATGTGGTTTCTCTCGGGAGTGGTTGCGGAAGATAGAGATTTGGACTGACGGAGGACTGCGGATGTATGGCTACGACGGGAAGGGAGAGAGGCAGCGGAGAATCCCAGGAGACGGGCAGCGGAGAATCCCAGGAGATGGAGAAACGGAAGCGAAAATGACGATAACTGACGCAATCAGTTCGCCTCCACCATTAAAGAGAGTAACTCCCGTGATTATGTGGATTAAGTGGCAAAAGACTGGCCACGCCCGCCGTCCGCCTGCCTCGGCACGGCCACGGCCACGGCCCGGCCGACGACGGCGGTGGCACGCGTGCGCTTGTGGCACGTCTTTGTCCATTTCTCAGTTTCTCAATTTAGATGAATAATTTTTTCAACCTTATAAGTTGAGTCAACGTTCAGTCAAAATCTCGTATGGTATTAAACCATACAATGCTTAATGTTATGTACCATAGAGTTTTATTTAATATATTAAATATTATTATGAATTTTGGGCCAAAGCGGCTGATATTTGTCCGGTTCGCTGAATTATTGTTGTGAGAAAAAAAAAGTCAAAACAAATCTTTAAGACAATGCGGGCCATGTGTGAGCCCAAATTGTCCCGTTCTTAATTTGGTTGATAAATAGTATTTATTTGTTGTGAGAGGAGAACCAGCTTTTGGTTGATTAATAGTATCGCTGTGAGAAGGAACCAACCGGCTGGTCTGAAATCCAGACGAGCGAACGACAGTAACTATTCGAGGTTCCTGTACTATGAACATAGCTAGCAAGGAATCATTCCAGCTTTGCTCATCAGTTACAGATGTCAGTGCAATGTTCGAAGTTCAAAGTACTCGTTCGCTGCAATTTCAGATTCACTGCCCTCTGTCCTCTTGGGCTAATGAAGGAACAACGGTGTGCTTTATCAGTTATCACATATTAGTGCTGAATCTGTCCTGTGATGGTGGCAGCCTCTGGTAGGTGCCCTTTTGAAATTAAAGAAGCCACTTTATGCCATCTTAGTGCCCTGGAAAGAGGATGGGTTTATCTTTGTTCCTAACACAAGAGATACTGATTTACTACTCCAAGATTTTGTTCTCGCAGAAGTAACTAGCAGGTCAAATAGATGAGACAGATAATAGTGGCAATGTAAGCCCACAACGCATCGGTTATTTTTGTCGTTTCAATGCTCACAGATCGTCACTCAGAATCAAGCGTAATTTACGGGCCCTGTTCGCTTGTCTTAAAAATAGTTTGTTCGGCGTCATTTAGTGTTTTTCTCTCACAACAATTTATCCGTAGATTTTTCATAGCAATTTCACCAAATTTGGACCTGGAAACGGGGCCATAGCCGAGTATCCATAGTTCATAGCCTGTTCGGCACTGCTGACGGGTTCGTGGTGACTGGTTTGATGTGAGAGAAAAATATTATTTTGACTGAAAGACACGGTTCATATAAACAGTGCCCACATAGAGAGGGTTGGCCAGCACCAGCTAGCCAGCCGATCCAGCCGAACAGGCTGCATATTGCCAAGCCACAGAGCTGACATGGTTGTATCACCGATCAGTCTTACACTACGTCGAAATGCTACACTAACCTTTTTTTACCCGAAAATAATAAATTATTAAACCCATCAAAACTGGGTTGAAACTACTGGGCCGATTTGGAGTCTGGACGGACTAGGATTTTCGTTGGGCCAAACCAAATATTCAGGCCAGCTAATAAGAAGGCCCATTTATTTAATACATCCGCCCTAATCCCCTCATCCACACACCACACTGCTCCTCTCCCACTGCCTGCCTCCTCTCTACTCACGGTTACTCCCCACCTCTCCAATCCACCTGGAAGTGTAATTTTCCACCCAATTCCGTTGATTCTCCGTTTTTTGGATTGGTTCCTCTCCCAGATTAGCGAAGAGAGCCTCCGCGTGTTGATGAAATATCTGGATTTCGTTACCATTCGCGGCGGCCATGGCTACAGTTTGGAGCGGCTGCAGCACGAGCTACGGCTCCTTCGGCCAAGAGCTGCCCCCGCGCGGCAAGGGGTGCGGTGGTGATGGCACAAGATTCCGTCCGCGAAGCGGAGGCCAGATCAGTGGCGACGCCCACCTGGCACAAGGGCTAAGCGCCGCCATGGTTACGGTCGGAGCTTGCGTTTGTAGGGCGGCTCCATGCTTACTTGATTCGGAGGTCGACGGGAAGGAGGACGTCGGCGTTGGGTTTTGGGCGGTCGATGGTGAACGGCACGCTGATGGCCATGATGGTGGCAAGAGGCGCGAGCCGCGTCGGCGTCCGACGAGGCCGACCGTTTTTCAGGAGGAGGTGGGCACAAGAAGTGCTCCACCGGCGATGGCGTCGGAGCCGGACAGGAAATCTGAGCATGGGGCGTCGAGGCTGCACTTCTTGGAGGAGAGGGACGAGGAGACGCTGTCCAGAAGGTTGATAAAGCTCAGCCAAAACAACAAGGTCAGGAGTGCCACTGAGCTGTTTGATTCAATGCGCGCATCTGGGCTGCAGCCAAGCGCACATGCCTGCAACTCCCTGTTGGCTTGCTATGTGCGGAGAAGTTCATTGGCGGATGCAATGAGGTTGTTTGAGTTCATGAAGGGGAAAGGAATGGCAACAGGGCACACGTATACCTTGATACTCAAGGCTGTTGCGAGCAATCAGGGTTATGTTTCTGCATTGGAAATGTTCAATAAGATTGAGGAGGAGGAAGATTCAAAGAAAATCATTGATGTGATTGTTTATAATACAATGATATCTGTGTGTGGAAGAGCAAAAGAATGGATGCTTGTGGAGAGACTATGGAGAAGGCTAGAGGAGAATTCTTTGAGTGGGACTTTGCTGACATATGATTTGTTAGTCAGCATATTCGTGCAATGTGGACAGTCTGAGTTAGCAATTGCCGCATATCAGGAAATGCTCCAGAGCGGACTAGATCCGAGCGAGGATATAATGAAGGCTATCATTGCTTCCTGCACTAAAGAAGGGAAGTGGGAGTTTGCACTGTCCACATTTAGTAGAATGCTGAGTGCTGGCATGAAACCCAGTTTAATTTTGTTCAATTCAATTATCAACTCACTAGGGAAGGCTGGTCAAGATGAACTCGCCTTTAGGATGTACCATCTTCTGAAAAAATCAGGCCTTAAGCCTGATCAATATACATGGAGTGCACTGTTGTCGGGATTATACAGGTCTGGGCGATGCTGGGACTGCCTAGAGCTTTTCCAAGGAATCAAAGCCAAGCATCCGACGCTCTTAAATGATCATCTCTATAACATTGTTTTGATGTCTTGCGAAAAGCTTGGTCAATGGGAACATGGTTTGCAGCTGTTGTGGATGATGGAAAAAAGTGGACTGAAAATATCAGTGGTATCTTACAATCATGTGATAGGTGCTTGTGAGGTTGCTAGCGAGCCAAAAGTTGCTCTTAAAGTGTACCAGCGCATGATTCATCAAAGGTGTTTGCCAGACACATTCACACATTTATCTGTTATACGAGCTTGCATCTGGGGATCTCTTTGGACTGAAGTGGAGGATATATTAGAGGTAATACTTCCTTTTGTCATTATTTTATCTATGTTCAAGTCTTGAATTCCCATTTGCTTAGATGTGGGTTTTTGTACTGCTCTCGTACCAAAAGATTGGACGGGTGGCACTCTGACTTTGGTTCTTCAATGCTACGTTTATTGTTGCTTAATTATTTAGCAATCTTCTATGGTTAGTACCAACACTATGGCTGGACACGAAAATGAAAATCCCTCTTAGACATGGTTTCTTTTCCAGTTTTTCTTGGTCATTCGAATGGCTTCTTGTGCACAACTGCACCTGAATTTGAACAAATGCCTTCTTGTGCATAACTGCACCTGAGTTTGAAGAATTAGCAATGTGTTGCTTCCATTAGATTTCTGTTCTTGACACTAGTGATATTCATTTCGAACCACATGGTTAATTTTGTGATCCAGTTATTTGGTGTATGCATTCTTTAGCCTAATGATCATATGGTTCCATTTATCTATATTTGGGGAGGAAAAGAGAAGATTTACAGAAAATTGCTCATTGTTCTGACCCTATCCATTATTTGAACATCAAGGACATTGTCTGTCTAAACTAGTGAGCATTAAGAACGCTGGAGCAACATCGTATTAGTATAAAATATGGATTATATTATGGATGTTGAGCCTGCAGAACATTATGGATGTTAAACTACTGAGCATTAAGAACGCTACAAAGTATCAGCACGCGATGCATTATGGTTTATGGATGCTGAACTTGCAGAACATCATACTATGCTTACTAGTTTACTGAATCATTCCGTCGAACCTGGTTGCAGTCTTGGTGCTTTCAAATCCAGGTTTCATGTTTCATTCATTCATGAATGCCCTAGTGATCTAATAAAATTTTTGAACTGCCTGCAGGAGGTGGCTCCAGACTCTTCGATCTACAATGCGGTCATCCATGGGCTGTGTTTGCGAGGCAAGATCGGGCTGGCCAACAGGGTGTACGCCAAGATGCGGAGCATTGAGCTCATACCGGATGGCAAGACGAGGGCGTTCATGCTTCAGCACATTGCTACGGACTAGGACTAGCCTCATGAAGAACAGAGACCGGCGATCTCGTAGCTGTACACAGCCCCAAATGAAATGCGCGAGCGCGCATGTATACAGGATCAAAGGTGGTAGAGCATAATTGTTGAGCTGGACACTGTATAGGCACTCAACATTTCAACTTGTCCGCAAAGGATATTGTATAGGTACCACGACAATGGGTCGAGCGGAAGCTGGCAGTGCCGGTGCACAGATTCTGCATATGTTTCTCCTCACTGACATCCTGCTGCCCCTTGCCAACGATGACGGGGTCCCGTTCCACCGTGGATGCCGCCGGCGCCGGTGCCCGGCGGCTGGCGGCCAAGATGAACCGTGCGGACTTGGGGTCGACGGGCTTGGCTTTTCTGTAGCGGCTGGTGCGCGCTCGTGGAACCACTGATACTTAGGAATTGCGCGCGTCTGCTGGAGTGCTGGTCCTCCGGTGGTTCACCTCGGTCTTTCGCGGATTTTGCTCAGGCTCGTACAGTTGTCTTCAGATGGTTTGTACGGCGCCTTCCCCAGAGGGTGGGTGTACGGCCTTGGCGCCTTTCATGAGCTTCGCTTGAAGTTTCCTTGAAAGGAGCATAGTGGACAGACACACATCCAAACAAGCCACGATGCCGAGGTTTTAAAGTCCGGATCGGAGGTATTGCCAGAAAAAGTAAGAAATAGCTGATGGTCTATACAAACCGAACCTGAGTTCCGGTAGTTGATTTGTTTCCTCCAAACTTAAACATTTATTTATATTTATACCTAACGTTACCTTGGTGCACGCGGCGGCAAGCTGGATTCTTGGACTGAAGCTGAAGCAACAGGAAGGCACCCTCAACTGCTTTCTGACGCACGCACCTGGGTCGTGGTTACCTACGAGCCAACGGATTCAGGTTTGCACAACGATCATGGTGGAGCAAAACCACCTTGTACGGCGACAGGATAAACAAGTCGTTGAGCCGGGACACGAGACAACCAACCATCAAATCCCCTGCTTTTAAGTAAGCAACCGCTAGTCTACAGTGAACACACAATCCCCCAATGGGCAGTGGTCACAGTGTCACTGTCGGGCTGCTCTCACGTTCACCTAATTTCCACCTATTCCCACAAGTACAGCCAGACATCTATCTCTGTTTTCTGCAGAGCGGGTTGTGCATCTGCATCACTCGCACTAAAATTCTCATTCTCAAACTTCACAGCTACTGCTCCTCCTACATGATGCCGTCCAGCCAGTTTCAGCGTATGAGTTTCTTGGCGACGAAATCGTTGGCATCGAGACGAAACGAACCAACGGACGGACCGGACCACCTGAAGCTGAATCGAACAAATCACCGCTCGGTTACAGAGATTTTTTTTTTTCGGAAAACGGCTACAGAGAATTATGACATGTCCGAGCCGGTAGGTATACTCTCCCGTGCTGCCGTCACGTGGCCACGTTGCTCCGCATCCGCGATTCGACGAGGCAACCAGCCGCTTTGCGGTGTTCTACTGCCGCGTAGCAGCGGCAGAGGCACCGACGGCATCCCAAAAGGCAGCCGACGTCTGGGGTCGGTTGGAGCCCCCGGGGATCGGTGGCCTGAGCTCCCAGTATACGCCTCCGGAGTCCGGATCCGCGGAGCCGACGGGCGAAGCTCCCGGGCTCTACTCTCCAGTACGCGGCTCGGTCGGGACCGGGAGCGAGGACTGGCGTCCTGCGTCGGCGGGATCGGCGTGCGAGGGGAGCGCTGAAACCTGCGCTTCCTTCTCCGGCGGATGCCAGGTCCTGCTCGGGAGAGGTGAACTCTCCGCTTCCTTCTCCGGTTCAACAATGGCGTCTTTTCTTGGCATATGCATGTTGCTCGTGTGCTGCTGCTGTTCTGAATCGTTGGCCCGGTTTGCATTCATTTCCAAGAATATATGTGGTGTTCGGTTGCTGAATTCGAAGAGTTCCGGACGAACCTCGAGCTGCAAATTTAATTCCTCTCGCTTTTCGCTCCTACTAGTCGTAATGTTCCAAGAATTTGTTCCAGCGGAAATAGTGTGCTGCAGGAGATCATGACACACGTCTGGGTTGTGATTTTGCCTTCTAGGTAAGGTAGGAAACCAAACATGGAGCTGAGGCTGAGGCTGCTGCTGCTGCTGCTTGCGCTCATCTGTCTGCATGCTCCCCGTTGGGCTTCGGCTCAGCAGCCTGAGGAGGCGACCGTTATAGTTAAAGGCTCCAGTAGGATTGCTGCCACGGATGACAACTACGTCTGTGCTACAATTGATTGGTGGCCTCCGGAGAAGTGCAACTACAATCAGTGTCCATGGGGCCAGGCGTCAATTCTTAATCTGGTATGTGCTTTATAGTTGTTTTTCTTCTCTTGTTATTGGTGGGCTACATAATGCTGTTTGGACTAATTTTTCATGCTGTCCATTCAGGATTTGGATCACCCATTTCTTTCTGAAGCCATTCAAGGTAGGCCCTTTGAGTTACATTCAGTGGTTGCCGGTTTCATATTTGTCATCCCTCGTGACTTTATACAAGGACCTAGTAGGCTGGTAGATTGTTGGCTAATTTGTTCCATGTCTCAGACAGTCTTTTTTTTTAATAAAAATTGTTAATTGTATCTGCAGCATTTGACCATTTGAGGATTAGGCTGGGAGGCTCCTTGCAAGACCGAGTTGTTTATGATGTGGGAACAGAAAGTCCATGCTCCCCATTCACAAATGTATCCAATGGCTTGTTTGGTTTCTCAGTTGGTTGCCTCGGTATGGATAGGTGGGACAAACTGAATGATCTATTTCAGAGAACAGGGTGAGACTTCTAATTTTAAGCTTTGTTGTTACCGCTACTGTGAGAACTTAAATTAGCCAGCATAACTTTTGCAGATGTTAACATGTTTCAACTCACATATTCCAAAACTTGTTATAGGACATGTCCAATTATGTGTTTTGGGTTTTGACAGTCTATGATTTTGTTGGTTGAGATGGTTATTGAGAAAAATAACTAAAAGCTATCCATTTCTACATATCTTTAGGAATACAGATTGTTGGCACATATGTAGGATGTGATAAGTTCAACCTCTCAATGTAACTGCATGTGCATCGCATGTTTGTACACAGGCATCTGCATATAAATTGATTTTCAGTCTTTTTTTATATGGATTGGAAAAATGTTTCTACTCCCACTTGTCTGTTTATCTTATATGAGGTTTCTGCATGCTAAGTGCAAGTAACTAATGGGTGAGCAACATCTATGTGCAGAGCAATTGTCACATTTGGTGTGAATGCACTCTATGGGAGGTATAATGTCCGGCGTTCCATCTGGGCAGGCAAATGGAACTCCACAAATGCATATGATTTTATAAAATACACAATCTCAAAGGGATACCCAGTTAGCTCTTGGGAATTTGGTAATACTATCTTTTCGCTACTGAAACATTCTGTGTCACTCCTTATATTCCAAGATAGAAGTTCTCCAAGTTTATGATGCATGAAATAAGGGGTGTCCCTCTCAAAAAAAAAATGAAATAAGGGGTCAGCCAGTTTGTTTGAGAACTACATTTTTACACAGGCTCTTGTTTTGTCAGGCAATGAGCTGAGTGGGCATGGAATCGGAGCGAAAGTTGATGCTAAACTTTACGGAAAGGATGTAATTGAATTTAAATCCATCCTTCGGCAATTGTATAAGGCACCACTGTCCCAGCCACTCCTGTTAGCCCCGGGAGGGTTCTTTGATCAACAGTGGTATTCTCAGCTACTTGAGACTTCAGGTCATGGTGTTGTTAATGCCCTATCTCACCATGTATACAATCTTGGTGGAGGTATGTGATTTATTGTTTTGACTGTAATCTCGTCTGAGTAATCCTGTTTCATTGTTTCAAAACGATTGCACCTACTAAAATTCCATGATGATACAAATGCTTACATAGGTAGAACTACTCTAAGCTTATCCTCAAGGAATCTGAATAAATGGCTGAACAGTTGTAGTCTGAACTGTACCTTCTAATAGTCCATTATGATACAAATGCTTTCTTAGTCTGAACTCTCACCTCCCTGTTCGTTTGAACTTATCAGCCTGGCTTATCAGCCATGGTACAGTGTTTTTTTTCTCACAACAAATCAGCATCAGCCGGCTTATCAGCCGTTTAAAATTTCGATCCTTCTAAATAAGTAAGTGCACCATAATTTGATTTGATGCCAAAGGACAAGTTATTTGACGGTTCTGTTATTTCAAAGGTACATTGTTTTAATTTGATTGCTTCTTTTTTTATATAAATTAATGTAAAGAGTGAAGGAATCCTGCATATCAGATAAAATGTATAAACTACCCTTTCAAAATTTTCTCTTAAATAGCAAGGCCTTTCTTAGGAGATGTAGTATTAATCACTTTTATCGAGTCAGAAATATATATATATATATATATATATATATATATATATGCTTCTATGTTAACCAGGCATATCCATTTTATCATTAGCAATGCCAATTTATGTAATCAATACACAACATGCATCAACAATGACACTTCATTATCAGGGAATGATGTTCATCTTATAAGGAAGATCTTAGACCCAAAGTACTTAGATCGTGCTGAAGATACTTACAGAGACATGCAACTTACCATCCAAAGGCATGGAACATGGGCTTCTGCTTGGGTCAGTGAAAGTGGCGGTGTATTCAACAATGGTGGTCTACTGGTGTCAAATACATTCATCAACAGCATCTGGTCAGTTCTCTTTTTTTTTCATGCGTGACATGAGTAACTCTGATGCTGGGGTCGAGTATGTTGTGTGAGTTTGTGATGGACTTCTCTTTTTATGAATGCAGGTATCTAGATCAGCTTGGGATGGCATCTCAGTACAACACAAAAGTGTTCTGCAGGCAGACTCTCATCGGTGGCAACTATGGACTGCTTGACACAGAAACTTTTCTGCCAAATCCTGATTACTACAGGCAAGGCTAGAGTTATGAAATTCTATAAAATGAATTATATCGGTGATTATAGACCGTGATTTGATATATATTTTGACCACTTTATCAGTGCTCTACTATGGCATCGGCTTATGGGCAATGGAGTTCTTTCAGTTGATATCAATGCACCACGTCAAATACGTGCTTATGCTCATTGTAGGAAACAACAGGTATGGGCTTGCACCCTCCCTTTTGTAAATCGGCTGTTTCTTTTTCAACAGAATTACCAGGGCAGTTAGGAAGATTTAATCTTATGTTACTAAATTTTGATTGATATGATAATTTTGTGGATTAGTGAACCATGTGTCTACAAATGACCACTCTGTTGGCTGAGAACACGATCAAGAGAGATATTGAATTATGTTTGTTAGATTACCCATTCTGAACATGATTGCTTCAAAATGCAGCAAGGCATCACGCTTCTGTTGATCAACCTAAGCAATACTACTGGATACAACGTCACTCTCCTGAATGACATCAACGTCAGCCTCGGTAAAAGACCTGACTTTGAGAAGCGCAGTTCTTTCACACACAGGCTCAAGAAAGCAGTCTCATGGCTGGCAAGGAAACCACCAAGCAACACCAAGAGGAGGGAGGAGTACCATCTGACCGCCAAGGACGGTGATCTCCAGAGCAAGACGATGCTGCTCAACGGGGTCCCGTTAGAACTTGGAGATGCTGGCAGCATTCCAGCTATGGATCCGGTGCTCGTTGCCGTTGATTCGCCGGTACACCTAGCACCAACATCCATCGCCTTCGTAGTTCTACCCAAGTTTGAGGCCAAGGCTTGTTCTTGACACATGAGCTCTTGAAATAAATATTTTTGCTGCAGTATGCCTTGAAATGTTCCGTCGGCCTATTTTGTGAAAGAAATCATATGACGTGGGGATAAAAACGGCAAAGCATTGTTGTGTGAGGAGGAAGCCACACTGTGAATTGTGATACTGAGACCTCAAGCCACAGCCGATAAACTGGCGTGGGTTAAAGCCCATAGAGTCCGTTTCAGTGCTGGGCTTCCATTTTGACTAGCCTGCTCAGGACCTCAGATTTTCTCTCTCGCATTTCCACTGCCCAAACGCCTTCTGACTACAGTAATTCCCACGAAAAAAAAAAACTTAAGGCTCTGTATGATTTGATTCCAGAGATAGACACCGGCTGCACCACAAGTGCGGCGCTTGTTTTGAGCGCCAGAGGTTGGCTTGCCCGAAGTTTGGTCGCGAAGCAAACGGCTGTCTGAGCAATGGAGCACCCAGAAGTTGCGGCTAGGCAACCTGCGTACGCCATCCAAACAAACCTGGTGACCGCAATACTTGGTTAAATTTAGTCAAGAGGCCAAACGCTTTTGTTTAAAACAGAGGAAGTTTACAAGCTGCCGACAAGCAACATTGTGGCGTTCCGATATAAAAGAAACACTGAATCAGCGTGGCGTTCCTTGTTCCAGCCCTGTCTCTCGATAGGCTCAACCATGGGAGTGACGTAAATTTTGTTCAGTGAATCTGGATCTCTATTTCTCACAGTTCAGCGCAAATACTCTTCAAAGAATTATCTGCACATCTTTAGTATGTCAACAATTGTAACAATATCCTGTAGGTTACTCCACAAACAATGGTATCTCTACTACAATCATCTCCAACCTACCAAAGCAATCACAAAACTACCAGGACAAAATTTCAATGACAAGTATAAAAAGAATTAAATGGATGGATGGAAAGCATATAAACTTGCCACCTCATAATATCCGCCTCCTTTCTTCGTCTTGATCAACCAAACATCGAATCTTCTAGCCTTCTGAGTTATTCTGTGACCAAGGATCAGTCCCAGAGTTCCTTTTGCGCAGTTACAGTATGGAAAAGAATGATGCACTAGTATGATACAGATTGTAAGAATTGTGTTCCCCTATGATACAGATGAAAACTCATGCCAGTTTTCGCAGGGGATGGTCAGTTGTATTGAATGCTGGTTGCTTTCTTGATTAACCAGTATATTTATCCAGCAGCAATCAGCCTCTCCAGCCAACAAACGAATCATAAACTATACTCCCTCGCTGTGTCCAGCATTTGCTGCAAGTCACTCCTTGACACGCTGAGGCTCCAAAATATGGCAGTTTCTAACAAAGTCGTTGGAGTAGTTTACATGCTTTGTCCAAAATGGTTGAAGGTTCTTAAAAGCAATGTCTAGCCATGGCTTGCACTGGCCATTGTAATGTATCACTGCAGCCCTCCTGACACTCTCAATATCTGTCTTGTCTTGGTATCCTAAGCCAAGCAGGTGCCATGATGGGTCTATGCCATGCACATGACCCCTAAATGCTATAAGGGCGGGTGGTAAAGTACCAAATTTCCAGAGTGTAAGACCAGATTTTAGATTCTGCAAAAGAGATTTAAATTAATGTGAAGACAAATAATGGTAACCAACAACTCTTATCATGTTTTAGGTAGTAGTTAACTATGGTTTTTTTTTATTTATAATTTTCTATGCCTGGAAGAATATATAAGCGCATGGTGACCAAAGCCAGGTAGCAGAAAAGGAAAATCACTTTTTACATTTACACAAGAATGTTGAATCAAGGTTTCTTTTTAAGATTTTGGAACACTGTACATAGTACAAAGTCTGCATGCAAAAATACCAGAATGATTTCAGTTCAGAAACATAGTCAATGAACTATGGAACATAGAGTAAGACTGGGAAATGGATATCCTTGTCGGTGTAAAATGCATTACCTCCTTCAACCAGAAATGATATGTATCCCTGATGTTTGTCTTCCTCCAAGCTGCCAGATCAAATATATTCATACCATATGCCCAAGCACATTCATCTGGGTCAAGACTCCGAGCTATCACAGGATGCGAGAAGTTGAAATACGTCCTGAAACGCTTAGACATCACCCAGCTGTCTTCCCCTCTGCATGTTTCCACAGCTCCATTCACCTTCCCTTCAAGATTGATCGCCCAAAGGGGAGACAAGTCACGCTGAACAACAATGTCATCATCGAGGAAGACAACCTTGTTGAGGTTGGGAAAGAGCTGGATGAAGAAAAGTGAATGGATCAGGTTATAAAGATGTACAAAGTCTACATTACAAATTTCACAATCTTTGCTACAGAGTATAAGTATAAGCTAGCTTTGAAGCTGTACTGTATGGTAAGTGCAACTCAATTATTACTAGAATTGGGAAAAGGGTAATGGAAACTAAAAAGAAGTGGCGGAATATAACAGCTCAGCACATTAGCAGCAAGCAAAAGTGCACAATCAACACATGATAAGGATCCTGACAAAAAAGAATCACGTTTGAATATCTTCATTTGAATCAGATATAGAAAGAGAACTAAACATGCATCTTAGTACTGGAATGGTTAGTGGGGTATCTTTTAATTATCACAGTTTCAGCATGCATCACGTGGTAATGATGTAGTACGTAACTGTAAAGGTCATACTAACTAATCCAGCAAGCTTTAGCCCATACAAATGGTGTTCTCACAGAAGTATTCAATCAAATTAAATGCACAAGTGAATAAGACAGATCACATATTCACTACATTGAAGTTGGTTTGAGTATGTCCTACTACATATGACAGTAGACTATCCCATCCACCTCTGTTCTATGAAAGAAAGCATGCGGTGTGACGTTTTCCAAGCTCACTTAATCAGGAGCCTTGGAGGCAATCACCTAAACAACCTAATGCCCTACCATAAAGATATGCTAGAAAGCATGGCGATGGAATCTGGTGGACACATCAATATGAAATGCTTAAATAAACCGGTAAAAAAAGGAAGTGCGACAGATAAAAGCCAATGGCAAGGCACCTCAGGCAAATAAATGCGGAGATGGTTCAGCAGGGATATGTATTTGGGGCTCCGAGCCTGCAACTTTGAAGCAAGCACCCTAGGATTGTCACTTGCGCTGGAAACTGTACCATGATCTCCATGATAGTGATTTCTAACTCCACGATGGTTTTCTATAGCCTCTAGTACCGGGACATTTTCTCTTGTCAGCCAGTCAAACTGGTGAACACCTTTTACTTCAACTATTGCAGGAGATATGGAATTAAGAGCAAACCATGAATGCATCCCAGGATATGTTTTCTTATCAGTAATAACATGGAAGACTACTTTCTCAGGCACTGAGGAAGATCGTACAGTGGAGCTGACAACAACTGAAGCAGCAAGAATGTTATCACTGGCTAGAATATAATGTTGGAAGGAATTATCAGAAAGCAAAGGTAATAGTTCTGGTGGCGGTAACTGTTTCCGTGCATGAGCATTTGAGGAGTATTCATCAGTAAGGCGCAGAGACAAGCAATGGATTCCTTTGGGAATAGCAGTTGCAGCATAATGTTTATACAGCTGTTCTGCCAACCTTGACCTCTTTACCTCCTTATCCATGCTTTCCATCTGCAATATAAGTAATAAGAATAAATGTTATAAACCACAATAGTGCTCTAAAGCACCTAATCAGGAGCTAAGGCCAAAGGTCAATATTTTATTAAGCAGTGTACAACAAAGCAGCAATACACAATTACACAGAGATGGGAACCGAATGCTGAAAAGGATAACCAATTACATATCCAGGAGCAATACACAATTGTACGTTAGCTCCCAGAAAATGTATAGATTCACTTACACAATTGTGAAATACTTCTGCAACTCTAGTTTTTTAGTGATCATGCCCTGTATTTTTTTTCCACCCAAGAAAAGTCTCATTTCCATTAACAGCATAACGGAAATACAGAGTTTTTGGAAGATGATAGAAAGACAACAGAAGGTTTAAGACCTACACCCAGGCAAACTAGACGGATGCCTGAAACTCTGACTCAGAGCTAAGGCACCAGAAACAGAACCTACCATAAAATTCCAACGGCGATATAACTCCAGCGGCAAAGACATAACAGGAATGCCAAAGACGAGGCAGAATTTAGAGAGTACATGCTAACTCCAGATGCCAAAAAGCATCATGGGATACTATGCAATAATTGCATATTGTCACAGAATAGGCTGCCGTTCTCATGTACATGCCATTCTTGTTCATAATCAATGGATTTTTGTTATGTTTAATTAGTAGAAAATGTGATATGGATTATTTGAGTGCCCAAAATCAACATGTATGTCCATATCGTATTGGGGTCTTCCAAATACACATCACAAAAACCAATTCAGTTTTGCTTTAAAAGTTTGCTCATGCAGCACTATAACTTTCAAAATTTCCAATGCAACAGTGTGAATAAAAAAAGGCAAGTTAGTTCCGTACCGTAGCTTTCAACCTAACAGCAAATGTTCTAGCATCATAATGGTTATCCTTCATCTCCAAAAGAAAATCCCTGAATGATTCTGGTAACTTTTCATTGGATGGGAATTCCTCATTGTTAACTTGATCAAAAATTCTATACAGATTTTGCACCAGCCTCTGTTAATATTGAGTAAGAAGCGGTAAATAAATTGTTGTCTCTATGAAAAAGGGTAAACAAAGAGTCATGAGTTGCTCAAAGAAAAGTACAAGGAGTTTAGTAACTCACTGTAGAATCACCCCCCTGCCTACCAAGGAAACTAGGCCCTATTCGCCTCCCCAAGCAATCTGTAAAACAGGATTACAAAGGTTACAAAACACACAAACTATGAGATGTAATACAAAATGTCAGTTCCGTGCAAAGAAATAAGCTAACCGTGATAAAGCACCCATGCAACCCGGGGGTTCTACAGTAAAAAGCAAAAGTACTACCCCCAATCCCAAATGTAGGTCATTCTAGGATTCTATCGGTCAGACTTATATTTTACTTGGACCATCAATGTATGATGAAAAGTTA